CCATCATATTCGAAAAAGCGCTGCGTTTATACTTTTTTTTGCCTGGAACAATTAGCGCGGTATATAAAGTGCGGGCTATTTGCCCATAGTTCAAGCGCCTTTGATCTCTGGTTTTGCGACGAAAATGTGTTGAAGTTATTGGAGAGACGGTGGTACCCCTTTCAATAAATGCCTGATGAACAAGCTCGTTCATTCACTCGCCTTTTTCGATCTCCTCAGTGTAGAAAAAGAATGTACTTATTGATTGGTTCCATGCATTTATTTGTCATACTAAGGTTTAAGTCAGTTACGGCAACTATTATTCACTTTTCAGCTATGCATTCCTTGTTTTTTTTTAGTCATACCGCTTTATTTTGCAGTTTTGATGATTGAAATGTGACTATATTCCTCATTCTTGTGGTTTTGTAAGCTGTTTTGAACTAGCTAGCTTGTGCAGCACCACCTTTTTCATTTAATCAAACAATCTCGTTCGCTGCGTACGCTGGGGGCGTGTCAGGTAGTAGGTTTGGCGCCGCTTCAGCAACTTTTCCACCATTGTGGTAGCCTGCCAGCTCCCCCTATCGGTGGAGAGCGAGCAGGTGCAGCGGCAAACCCAACATCCGCAGCGAATAATACTGTGGTGCCTTCTTCTGCAATAACAGTTCTTAGGATGTGCAGAGCGCATAACAGGTGGCTTCGATTGACCGTGCAAATGCGCGCAGCGCGCAGTGTCGTGGGATGAGCCACGGATGTTCGTCAGGGGCGTGCTTTCTTTAAAGGGCTGGTATGGGGGCTTGTTACCTAGAGCGTGCGCTGAGATCATACATTATGTGTATGCTTAGCGCGTCTATACTAACTTGCGAAATGGAGATGCAAACTATGGAATAATCGCGAATTGGGAATACTCGCTGCGTGACAACGTGGTAAAAGTTTGGATGAGGTTTCTGATTTCGTCCGCGAGCAGTCTTCGGGAAATCCGTGATTAGAGGTTTAGTGACTCCGCTTGCGCTTCTTAGTGTTCCGCGAATCAGGGGAGTGCGGACAGTGGGCGGGGCCAGTCTCTTCACATCTAATTGTTTAGCGACGATTTCCCGGATGCGCGCATTTCCCTGAGTCGCAGGCTCTCCAGTCCGACACTATGTTTTCCTTGTCGCAGAGTTCCTGAAATCGCGGATACTCCACATTCACGAGGCATGAACACAACCCTACCGCACCATCACGTGCAGTGATTTCGCGCGCATAAAAACCTGGGAACGGGGGGGGGTGATCGGGTACAAATGACGCGCTTGTTCAAAAAAGGACTTCCTCCAACAATAATTTGTCTCAGTTATGCGTTGTGCACCTGAAGAGCATAAAGTCTTCTTCGCTGTGGATGATGAAGCGCGTCAATAGATGGCCCTGCTTTGGCGTGGCGCCAGCTCTTTCTCCAGCCATTGTGGGAACTGGCAGAGTGGGAGGTGGCTGGTGCCGCGCCATACCTAGCCGCCCTGGCACGCCCCAGCGACTAAAACTGTATAACGTGGTCCTTATTACAGTAGAAGTTTCATAGTTCGGTTAATGACTGCTACCGTAGCCTACTCATATGGTTTACCAACCCGAGCCTAAAGTCACTACCACCTCAGCCAGTGCCGTTCGCGCGCTCTGAGCTTGATAAAAAGGCGAGGAGCTGCTGGTACGGTCCGGGTTACGGTAGCAGTGATTCGCCGGACTGTGAAATCTCCATGATGGTCACTATCTCCACATCATTCACTTCTTGGCATCGGCGGGCACAAAAGAGCGGCATCTGACAAAGTGGTCCATGCGGTGCCACACGTTTTTGTGTCGCGTTTTCTTTAAATGTGGCGCAGAATTCTGTGTTGGGAACGGGAAATAAATGCTGCCGTGTTCTGGCACTTGGACATTTTTGTTAGCGGTGTCATTTTTTTCTGCTGTGAAACGGCGAACATATCATTCATTTTGCAATTAAGTTATCCTTTTTGAAATAGACGTTCTTTTTTCCTTTGTTAAAGTGCCGCTATTTTTTTCAATTGGATCCTCTCATTCTCCTAAGTCATGCCTTTTTATTAGCAGGTTAAGGTTTGTTCTAATGTTTCTGGCAATGTAACGGCAATTGGAGTGTCATTTTTATCTTACTTGTTAGATTTTTGAAAATATTAGAATTGATATGTATATTCACGTCACTGTTTCTCTAATCACTTTCATGATTTTATCATGATTAGTACCCACTCATACGCCTACTGAATACGTTATGCTTCTCTTACAATGAAATTGTGATCTAATTTGTTAAAGCCAAAGCTATGAGAATAAATTGTAATTCTATTACATAAAATGAATGCTGTTGGCATTTTGCGGTGATTATTCCAGGTGCGTAGATTGCTGAATCACCACAACCAGTCGAGGCGGTGCCAGGAGGCGTGGAATGAGTCCACTTCTGCTGCGTTTTCTACCAATAGTGATTTATTCAATAAGAAAACAGGTGGTCACAGAAAACACTGCGAGGCTTATTCCGTGCCTCCTGGCACCGCCTCGACTGTTTGCGGCAATATCCCTGCATGAACCACTTGGCTTGCTCCTGAAGCACGCCGCGCGCGGCAATTGGCGCGAGGCGTTAGGACACCGTAGTAACTGGGAGTAAAAATAGTCGTTTCTCCTGCAAACACTGGGTGTGTCGTGTGGGCTGGGTTTGGCACGGTGCCAGCCCGCTGTCCACCAATTGTCGCTTGTTCGCTTCATAACTGGTGGAGAACGGGACTGGCACCGCGCTAGACCCTGCCCCCTGACCCTTCCCAGTATCCGCAGCGGAAACGACGTAGACATGTTGGAAGTGATGAATGTTTGATCATTTTGAAATTCAAACATTGCTCAATAAATTCGCCAAATGGGTGCGGTATCCTGAACGAAAAGCACGTGTCGAGGAATTCTGCCGTCGCGTGACGGGGAAGGGCGCCACGTACAGTCATTTTCGCTGAATTGAGTCGGGGTGTGTCAGCGGATCATGGGTCTGTCTCGGCGCCAGCCCGTTCTCCAGATGTTTGCGACTTTGGTCGTTCATAAGTGGTGGATGGAAAGGGGCTGGCGTGCACTAAACTAACGTGCCGCTGACACGCTCTGATTGACTTTAGTGGTAACTACTTCATCCGTCTTCTTGACAGTTTTTGCAATTTGTTACTTGCTATGCAGCATTTTCCCGTAACCTCGACGTAAAATATTTATTCTAAACGAAAGACGAAAAATTTGATAAACTGCTAGTATTTTTTTTCAATAAAGTGAATCACATTTGACATTATGGCGAGCTGAGGTTGACTGGTCGAGGAGCAACTGCTGCTACTTTTTGTCCCATATATCGTTCGAGAAACTCGGAATGCTTCTTGAGAACGTTGCTTACACTTTCTTTTCTGAAAGTTCTTCCGTATGAAAA